ACCTCCAACTACAGCCTAATAGCCCTTGCACCTTGCTCTTTGCCTGCTGTGGGCAGCTGGATACATTTCTGCTCTTCCAGAACTGCTGTATTTCCCTGCAAAACTCTGCAGGTGCAATGCCTGCAGGGGACTCAGGGCTTTCCAATTGGATGGAGTCTGGAGGAAAACAGAAACCTCAGTGGTGCTGCACAGGGAAGGAGAGAGCAATCCCCATCTCCGGGAACAGGCTGCAGGGCTGCAAGTGAGACAGAGATTGTCCCTGCCTGTGTGCCCAAGCTGTGCAGCCACTGCCAGCCCCACAGTGAGGGGACCCACAGGACAGGTCCTCACTGCAATCAGGCACAACCTGCCCCACCAGCCCTGCCAGGGAAGCACCGCACCCACAGCCCTGTGACAGTTACAAGCACACAACCTTTGAGCTCAGATATATTTATTTGCTCTCTGGTGGAAGACATCACTGGGGCCACATCCTCTCGCCCCACTGGCCTCCAACAGTGGTGTGGGGACACTGCTTGCCACTCAGCAGCACCCTGGGGGACCACAGGTGCCACCAGCACCTGGGGCTGTCAGCCGCTCCAGCAGCTGGAAGGGGTCACGGATCTTCTCCTGAAGGACAGAGAAAAACCCAGGGCAGGGTCAGGCCAGTGGGAAGCAAGAGGCACCTGAGAAAATGGAACTTGCCCCTGGCTCAATCCCTGCCAGCAGAGCAACCCAAGCAGACCTTCCTTAGCTATCATTGGGGACAGCTCCTGGATCACTCCAGCTGCTTTTTCCTGCAGCAAGAAAGAAGCCAAGAGCTTGTCTGGGATTTGGCTCTGCTTTTATCTGAGAAATGCCTCCTGCTTGGACAGAGACCTGAGAAAATCTCCCCTTCCTAAGTACAAGGCTGTATTTCAGGGATACACAGCTGGAGGTTATCTCCCTTGTCTCTCCTGGCCCATTTACAGGCTGGCGAGACCACCAAGGAGAAGAGAGGGGCAGATAGAATACTTTGTACTGCAGGGTCAGGGTTGGCAGCCAGGGCCAACCTGCTCTTCCATCAGCAGGAGGAAGAGCAATGGGCAGGAAGAAATTGTGGGGGTGGGCCATCACCTCCCTGAGGCAGGCTGTGCACAGACATTCCCACAGGGGAAGGATGACTCCCCTTGGGAGACCTCAGGGAAGTCCAGCTGTCAGCCTCCACAGTCCCCATGGGCATGTTGGGGTGGTTAGAGCACACCCCTCTTTGGAATGCTCCAGCTTGGGTAGGGGTGCAGTTTGTCCTGACTGAGGCACCAAGCACCACTCTTGGTGTCCCATGAGCTCCAGCCTGGCCCAGAAGGAGTAAGGTGTCTTGGTATCATGTCATTCTGATGGCATGGGACACTCAGGTCTCAATTCCTTAACCCAGCCATGGAGCTGCCCTCTACTGACCTTCGCTCCCTTGCAACAGCAGCCCTGCAGTGCTGCAGCACCACCAGCTCGGATCAGGAACTTCTCCGCAAACCTGGAGCTCTGCAGGATCGCAGCCATCTCAGCATCCACATCCACCACCTCTCCTTCCTGGGGACAGAGGAATGGTCACAGGCCTGGGGTCCTGGATATGTGTCCCAGGGGACTCCAGCCACTCAGCCAGATGATGGGGAGATTGAAAGCAGGAGCATGTCTTGGTCCAAACCCTGAATAAACACCCACAAAATCCAAGCATCAGGCTTCAAACCATTCTGGGAAGCCACCACAGATGTCCTGCTTCTAACTTTACCACAAAACAGTGCATCTGTCTCCCTTTCCTGTACATTCACACTCCCCTGGGTTTACACAGACCCTCAGCTCCTACCCACTATCCCCTCCACCAAAGCTTGCCCCCCAGATCAAAGAGGATGCTGCTCTCTTCCCTACAGAGCCCACCATGCTCCCCAAACCTTGAAGGTGAAGTTGGCATCAAACACCAGTTCTCGCTCGTGCCCCACAATCCCACCATTGTAGATGACCTGTGCTGGCCTGGCCCAGCTGCCAGCTGGCACCTTGAACAGGCGGAAAGTTGCAGAAACAAAGCGGCAATCGCCTACAAGGGAGAGATTGGCGGCTTAGGCACTGAACACCTGGGCTGGGGTCCCAGCACAGCCTCCCACAGAGCTGACACTCCCTGGCTGGATCCTCACCAATGATGTCCTCCAGCTCCTTGTCTCCAATGGTGATGGGGCTGGCAGTGACCAGGCATGGGGGGCTGAACCCCACCTCTTCAGCAATGCTGTACAGGTCTCTCCAGTACAGGGCTCCTCCCAGGCATTCTCCTGGCATGAGACAGACATGGGGGATGGAGGCAAAGGTCCAGTCCCCTATGCCCTGTCACCCCATCCCACAACCCTACGCACCCCACAGCACCCGGTGCTGCTGGATGGTCTCACTCAGGCGCTGGCTGGCGTAGACATCACTGAAGTACATCTCTCCCCCGGGCTGGAGAACAGCAAGGAGTGAAGGAAGACCTCAAGAAGCAAAGGGACAAAAGGGGCAGGGAGAATTGGGAAGCCCCTAATCCTACCCTGCTTGGGACCCTCTGCAGAGATGCCTTCCCCTGACCCCATCCTGCATCCCCACCTTGCTGGATCCCATTTGCTGCTTCTCAGTGGCACTCCAACAACAACTCCAACTCCAACCACCCCAAGCCCACTTTGCTACCACAGGCAGCAGCCCATCATCACCTTCAACACACGGAAGGCCTCCCGCAACACAGCCCCCTTGTCAGGGGCAAGGTTGATCACACAGTTGGAGCTGTGAAGGAGGAGACCAAGGCTTATCAGCACACTTTGCACCATCATGGAGACACCATGCTGTGCATCCTATTGCATCACACAGGATTTGGAAACACCAATTTGACCATGAAAAGGGAAATTTATATTCCCAGATTCTGGCTTGGGATTTCCCTTTTCCTAGCACATGCTTCAGAAGCAGGTGACTTATTGGGATGCACACAGTCCCAGGAAGCAGCAGGACTGGGGGTAACTGTGCCCTGCACAGCACCTACATGACAATATCATAGCTCTCATCAGACAGTCCGGCATCACCCAGCTTCTCCATGTAACCATGGAAGAACTCCACATTCGGCTTTCGGTAGCCAAACTTCTCCATATGGTAGGCAATGTGCTTCTTTGCCACCTCAACCTGGCAGGAGGAAGAGAATGATGTGGGGGGGCTGCTGGGAGGATGAAGGGGAGGCCCAGGTCTGTGCCATACCTGGCCCTCGGTCATATCTATCCCAGTGACATGGCCCTGCTCCCCGACCAGCTGGCTCAGCAGGTAGCAGTCCCTGCCGCTGCCGCTGCCCAGGTCCAGAATCCGGCACGATGACAGGCACTCAGGGATCACTAGACCGCAGCCGTAGTACCTGGGTGGATGCTGAGTTGAGCTGAGAGGAGATGCCCCATGGCATGGCCAAGAAAAGGCTGCAGCCCATGGGGATGTGGCAGTGGAGGAAAGACCCTGGGGTTTACCTGGCCACCACCTCATCATGGATGTGCTTCAGAGCATCTCTCACCAGCTTGGGAAGGGGCCTGGCTGATGTAACACATGCACTGGTTTTGAGGTCCTCTGACTTCTGCAGCTCTTTGCCATAGTAATCCTGAGATGGGAAGGACAGAGGCCACTGAACTGTGAAGTTGAGCCCTGGGAGCTCTAAAACATGGTGGCTATGCCTGTACTTGACCTGTACTTTTCCCACATGTCCTCTGACACTCTCACTTCCACCCAGCCAAAAATGACACAAAGATCAGGTATTCCTTTGCCCCCATCCTCCCCAGCTCCCTTTGCTCACATGCACTGATGTGTTTGTGCAGGAGGGAATTTAATTCCCATTTTCAGTAACTTTGCAGGCTGCAGCCACCATTTCCCTTGCTGAGAAAGGCGCAAGGAACAAGGGCAGGAAGATATCAGGTTGCTCACAGCTCCTCATCCCTGTGCACAACAGGAGCAAAGCTGCCAACTGCACCTGGTATTTTCATTTGGGCCCCAAAACAAGCTTGATCCTCTAATGGCAGCAAGAACTCTGGCACAGCCCAGGCATGCACCCCCTGCCCAACTGCCCCATCCCTCCACCAGTTCCCATCCACACCCCTCACCTGCACCTCCTGGTGGATCTGGTCTCTGCAGAGAGTTGCCACTGCAACGGGAATGTGGGGCTGGTGGCTGACACCACAGAAGTGGGCACCACACCAGGTCCTCCCAAGGGCTCTGAATCACCCTTTTCCACCAGATACCAGAGCACTTTTTGCTCTCCCCGCGCAGAACCCCAAGAACTCCCCCAACTTGCAGTCTACTAGGATGCTCCAGGGGGCACCTGACATCCCCCCACCCCCAAAAAAACCCAGAGAGATAAGCCCCCAAAGCATCCCTGTAGGGCAAATCCCACCTGCCACCCCCAGAGAACCCGTGGCCCCAAGGGCAGCCCCAGCACCCCGGGCAGAGGTGTTGGCCTGTCTTACTGCCTCCAGCTGCAGTGCCTCAACCGGACTCTGCCCAGCACAGGCCACGCTCCTCCCCAATACTCTGTGCTGTCCCGGTATCCCATGCTGCCTGGGCCTGGCTTCTACCCTAACACCGCCTCCTGCTTCTCCAGGCCCCTGGCACACGGCCCCTGGCACACAGGCACAGCGAGAGCTGCTGGCCCCGCTCCCGTGGGGAGCACGCTGCCATCATTCATGGTTCTTGCTGCACCCACAGCCCCAAAACCCACCCTACTGCCTGTTCCCCAACACCTCTGCACTTCCACGGTGCAGCCCTGTCCCTGCTTTCCTCAAAGGCAGGGAGACACAGATTGAATGCCACAGGATTACTGTAGCCTCTGCAGAGGACAGGACCTTGGAAGGGATGAGCCACCTGCAGCAAGGGCACCCTGCCTCAGCAAAGCCCTCCAAGCTGAAGCACAATGGAAGATCCTGTGGGGCAGAGACCCACCATCCCAGACAGTCTCCCTGATGCAGAGGGACTGCCAGCAATAGAATTCAGGACAGACCGCTGCAGTTTGGTGGAGTTCAGGACAGCTTTTATTCCCAGCAAGAAACTCGCAGGGAAAACTCTTATTCCCAAAGTGCACCTGCAAAGCTGGGGTCAGAATCTTACCCAAGGCAAAAATACTGGCAGGGATGAAGAGACCTAGCCCGAGAAGGCTCTGCAGCACAGGAGCCAGACTCCAGCAGCATTACAACAGGAATGTGGCAGGCCAGTGTCAGCTCTCAGCCTGCCTGCTCCTATCAGCAGGTGAAAAGCACACTCAGGGAAACAAGTGCTTCCCGTGCACTCCAAGTGCTCCAGATAAGCAACTTACCAAAAACAAGACACAGTATTTATAGTTGGTCCTGAATGTGAACAGGTCACTAGTCAGCAACAGAGAAGTGTCGAACTGAGCACACCAGCTCATGATGGTCTCCTGCCTGCTTCCCAGACGGGCCTTTGGATACCTTCCCAACCACACACAAACACACGCTACAGCCAAGGCTGCTTCATCAAAAGCTGGAGCAGCAGCCCAGGAAAAGGAATGCAGCTGAAGGCCGAAAGCAGCACATATGGGCTGGCAAAGGGATGATGTTCCAAACTCTGGCAGAGGGGAAAATAAGATAACCTCTGAGGAGGATGATGGCCAAACCACATCCAGCTAGGCCACTGGCAGATGTGAGTGCTTAGATTCCTGGTTTCAGAAAGTCTGTGCTGGGACTGGCACCTCAGCCTACACTGAAGCATCTCTCACCCACCCAGGCACTTGCAGCTCACACTGATTAAAATGCCCTTAATAAACTGCACTCTGTGCCACCTCTGTGGCTAAATACAGACAAGTGGAAAACTGCAGGCACCTACATTTAAACACCATGCTTCAACTCTGGTTGAACTCAAGGGTGCTGGTGCAGGCTGAGCACCTCATGCTACATGGGAAGTAAGCAGACACAGGAATTTTTGGGAGGAGCGAAGTTTCAGAGAAATTTGTTTCAGCTAGGTGCGGGTGCACAGGTGAGTATTCTGGGGTAGAGGTGTGGGTGCAGGCACACAAAAGGGGGCCACGTGCCCAGAAACACAGAGCCTGCACTTATCCCAGCTGACATCCAGCATCATCCAGACACAGTTCTGAGCCCCAGGGGCTGGAGGGGAGAGGATGCTTCACTCCCTCAGTGCTGGTCGAGATTTCCTCATGCCTTCGGCTTCCCTTCATTTCAGCAAGTGACTCAGCTGGTCCTGAAGGTTTGATGAGCGCTCCACGCTGGGCACCAAGCAAGAGGAGATTCACGGTGAGATCTGCTCCCAGACTGTGCTGGGCTGCCTGTGCCCAAGGGACCAGAGCAGCTCTAGAGCTGACATTACAGCAAAGAGAAACCTCTGTGTCCCCACAAAGCAAACCTCACTTCATGCACCCTGCTGTACACAGCTCTGCTCCCACCATCCTCACCTCTCACAAGCAGCCTCACACACTCTATCAGATCAGTAAAACAAAAGAAAGTCTTGGTATGAATCCCATGTCTTCATTCAAATTCCCATCTCTTCACAATACTGAAGAGAGCATCTACTGAATATACTGAAGAGAGCATGGGCCAGCATCTACCTCAAAGGCAGCTGCAAAAACATTTCCATTCTGCTTTCCCCCATCCAACTCCATCACCTCCCCCTTTCCATCCCCACATGCATGTCCCCCAGGTCCTCCCAGAACTCACTTCTTTTGAATTGCTTCTTGCCTAGATGAGAAAAGGAAAGACAAAAAGAGCATTAGAGAAACAAAATCTCAGTCACGGTTTATGTTATGTCAAACAAGGGCTCAAGAGGCCAAAACTCCAGGGTGTTACTGGATTAAGTCCTGGGGGACAGAAGCAGCACTGGCTTCTCCTTCTTAGGCCAAGGTGCATGACAGACATTCACGGGAGACATAGTGCATGACAAACAGGAGGCAAAAATTTCAGCTCCCACCCCAAAACAGCCTGAAGAGGGCTGGAAAATTCCAGCTGCAGGACCTGCTCAGCTTTGAAGAACTGAAAAAGAGGGATGAGTCAGAGCTGGCAGCTTCATGCAAAGTCTCTAAGAAGTACAGAGAAGTACTGAGGGATCCACTCAGCCCCCAAGAGAGAATGCCTGGTATCCCCTACTTACTGGTACTGTAGATGAGTAGTTATTATGGCCATTTTTCTTAAACTCTGTGGAGAACAAAACAAAGAATGAATGCCTACAGAAATCACAGTGCAAGCCGTCCTAATGCCCTGGAGGGTTCTTCCAGCACAGCCACCACTGCATTGCTGTACTGCCTCCAAAACACCCCTGCTGGTACTGTCACAGAGGCACACTTCCCTCTCCTTTCCCAGTGACAGGCAGAGACACAAGTGCTTTGTTTCAGCCCACAGTCCCTCAAGCTTTCTGCCACAGAGAGCACAGCTTGAGGGCTGGCCGGCCTGCAGGACACCAGGAGTCCAGCAGCACTGGATCTGAGGAAGCACTAAATTATTCTGGCCACCAGCCCTGCTGCCTGAAGTAACGTATTTCACTCCAGGGCCCCGGTAGCACGGCTGCAAACTGTTCTTACCACCCTCCTCCCCTCCCGTCCCTAGAAAAACTGCTGCTCGAGCACAAGAACACAGCTTACATCTTCCGAGTGCAAGATGGCATCCTCTTGCATCACCATGTTTCTCGCAGCTTGACCCAGGAGCTAAAAGAGGTACAGACCAGGCTGAGACACTGCAGCTTTGCGTTTCCCGAGGCCCCCGTGACGGCTGGCAGGGTGACACTCGGGGTGACACCGTGCGGGGATCACGGCGGTGCCGTGACAGCACATCCATCGGGAGCGCCTGAGGCACCGCTCCCACCTATCACCCTGGAGAGCTGGCAGTCACCCTCCCGCCTGCCACCGCCGCAGTCCCGAGGCGCAGCCCAGCCGTGCCTGCATCCCGGTCCCGCTGTCCCCCGTCCCTGCCCGGACACGCGGATGTGTCCCCTTCCTCGGACTACAGCTCCCGGCGTGCATTGCGAAGCCCTCCCCCGTTCCCAGTTCTGCTCCGGCCCTGTAATCGGCTGCCCGCCGGCAGCCGCCGCTCACCTCGGCGCTACGGGAGCCCTTCAGCACCTGCTTAGTGAGAGCGATCACGTCGGTGCCGCAGCTCGTCACCTTCTCGGTCAGGAGCCCCTTCACCGAGTGCCCAAAGCGCGCCTGGGCATCCGCCGCGCCCCCCGCCGCCATCTTACGCCACCCGTACCCCGCCCCGCCTACTCCCGGGAGCCGCTACGGCGAGCGCCGGGGGCCTGAAGGCTCGGGAAGACGCAAACGCAAAACCCGCGGTGGTCGGAGACGCTGCTGCAAGGGCCCTCTGTTCCCAAAGGACTCCCCCAGAACACCTCATCGGTTCGGGCACGGACACCCACAGGCTTCCCAGCACTGACAAGCACAGACCAAGGCTGACCAGGGCTTCTCAGCCCTAGCCAGTACTTCTCCTGTACCGACCAGAGCTCACCAGCATTGCCGAGGGCTGCCCGGCAGTGTCAAGTGCTACCCGTGTCTCCCCAGCACTGACAAGCGCTGATGACCAGGGATGCTCCGGGCTTATCAGCATTTCTAGTGCTGCCCCTTCCCTCCCGGATCTGTCGAGGCGCTCCCAGGCTGGGGATGAATTCCAGTGCCCCGCCAGACTCCCATAGCTGTGCTCACGGCACCCAGGACAGACCTCGAGGGCTCAGCTGTCTCCACACGCCTGGCCCTCCACAGGGCCCTGGGGATGGAACCCCAAGGACAGATCCGACCCTGGGCATCCCCTGGCCCCCAGCGCGCTGGATGCAGCTCCCCCATGGCCACCCAGGGTGGCCGTGGCCCCGCTGCCCTCGCCCCCCGCCATGTGCCCACAGCTGCAGAGCTGGCCACGGGCCCAG